CCCCTCGTTTTTTTTTATCTCGCCGCTCTCTCTCTCTCTCTCTCTCTCTCTCTCTCTCTCTCTCTCTCTCTCTCTCTCTCTCTCCCCCCTTGTTAAACCCCATGCTGCTGTTCGGGGTTTTTGTGTGTTTTAGTTTTGTCCACACAGAACATTATGTTCCTTTTCTAATTACCTCTTATATTTTTGTCACTTATCCCTGAAAGTCTGATAGAATCTAATGCTTTACATAATTTTACTGTGTGTAATGCTTATATTGTGAAGCCATTCACCGTTAGCCAAAATCTCCCTTGTCTGGAATATTTTCTATTGTGTTAATACAGTTTCAATGCCCCCTTGTTTGTTTATTTTTGTTATATATGAGCATATTGCCTGTATGTCTGTAAGTACACCATGTGTGTGCAATGTCTATAGAGGCCAGAAGAGAGCATAGGATCCCCCTGGAACTAGAGTTACAGATGGGTTGTTTAAAAAAACAGGGCTCAGCAGTCAAGAACACTGTTCTTGCAGAAGACTTGGGTTCAAATCCCAGCACCCCCATGGCAGCTAACAACTATCCGTCACTCCAGTTCCAGGGGCTCCGACAGCCTCTTGTGTCCTCCGTAGGCATTGCACAACACGGGTGCACTTACCTACATGCATACACGCATACACATAAAATAAAAATAATAAATAACAGTATAAGAAAAAGCAAAAAACAGACAGGTTGTTAGCCTTGTGGGTGCTGGGAACTGAACCTGGGTCCACTTCAAGAGCAGCCAGTAAGTAGTACTCTTAACTGGTAAGCCATCTCTCCAGGCCTTTTTTTCTTTTTTCTTTTATAAACAAGGTCTCCCTGTAGCCCCAGCTGGCCTGGAAATAATGTAGATCAGGCTGGTCTCAATCTCATAGAGGTCAACCTCTGCCTCCTGAGTGCTGGGATTAAAGGCCTGTGCCCATGCTTGCCTCCTCACCCTCTTTAAAAAAAAAATGGTTCGAGGGACTTGAGAGATGGCTCAGCAGTTAAGAACAGTAACTGTTCTTGCAGAAGACCCAAGTTCGAACCCTAGCACCCACGTGACAGCTAACACCTGTCCATTACTCCAGTTCCAGGGGATCCGGCAGCCTCTTCTGTTCTCTGTGGGTATTGCATGACATGGTGCACTTACCTACATGCAGGCAATACAAACATACATATAAAATAAAAATATTAAATAAAATGTTTTTAAAAATAATAAATTGTGGTTATTGAAACAAGGACATTAAATTTATAAAACCAAAAAAAAAATTGGTTCTGGTAATGGAACCCAGTGCTAGGTATACTAGGCAAGTGCTCTACCACTGACCTATATCTTTATTCCCCCAGTTTTTCGGGGAGAGGGGCTTGTTGAGACAGGTTCTCCCTGTAACCCCGCCTAGTCTTGATTGTACAGAGATTTGCCTACCTCTGACTCTGCCTCCAAGTGCTGGGATTAAAGGTGTGTACCACCACGCCCAGTATCTTTTAGCCCTCTTAAATACTACTTTTAAAACCATTTTATTGAAAAGCCTGTTGTGATGGCACACACACTTGGAAGGTAGAGGCAGTAGAATCAGAAAGTCAAGGTCATCCTTAGCTACACAGCAAATTTGAGACAACTTGATCTACATAAGACTTGTCTCAAAAAACAAACAGAAAAACCCCAAATAAACTAGGATATTTCAGTATGAATTATCCACTGATGTATCATTGTATGTATTTTTGATTTATAAGCATGGTCCTTCAGATTGTGGACTTTAAAGGCTATTTTATTTGAGAGGATTCTGACCATAATCCTAAAGAAAATTTTTTATTAATAAAGGCTATTTAGTCATATTTTTCTTTTGCACAGCAAAGGAGGATGAAAAAGAACAAGACCAAAGAGCCAAGTTTCTTATGATATACCAGTAAGCTTAAAGGAAAGTCAGTGGGTTATAATGAAATCTCTGCCATGAATTTTAAAAATTCTTCATTAGTAGTAATATTATGGTTAGTAACATTAGCTTGTGAAATTAAAAGAAATACTGTTTGCACAATCCTGGTTACTGTCCTGACTCCCACTTAGAGTCTAACTCTTTACTTTGCAGATTTAGAAATACTAAGATAAATGAGTTTTAGCCTCCCCCACTCAAAAAAAAAAGGGTGGTAAGCATTTCTTTGTAAACACTATAAATTATTACCAAAGTTTATTCTTACACATGAGCTTAAGAAAATTTGTTACAACTGTTAGTTCATTAACATGTAACACCTCAGGAACAAATCAACATGAGGATTCAGGTTCTTATCAAAAGGGAATTTGATGAGCTTGAATTTCAGGAGGGATATTAATGACATGATTTTGGTAAATAAATCATTAAGTTGTTAGGTATCCTTTATTTTGTTACCTTTTATCTTTTATTGATACTTTGAATACATATGTCATTCTTAAACTAAAGAGTACTATGTATCTACTGAAATAAAAATTTAGTTAAAATTACAATTCTATCAGGTCCCTTAAAAATCCCCCCAAATTCAGGAGTGTGGGATAGTCTCAATTTATATTCATGTATATTTAATTTTTATAAGAGAGTTGTCTTTAGTGTTTGTAATATATTTTCCATTTATTACAAAGGTAATGAGTTAACTTTTGATTATTTAGAAAATGCAAATGAGGGAGTGGAGAGATGGCTCAACAATTAAGAGTACTTGCTGCTCTTGCAGAGGACCTGGGTTTCTAGTACCCACATGGTGGCTAACAACCATCCATAACTCCAGTTCCAGGAGAGTCTGATGCCCTCTCCTGACCTCCTCCAGCATTACATGACCTGGGTGCACTTAATATACATGCCTGGGTCCTCTGCAAGAGCAGCAGTGCTCTTAACCATTGAGCGCTATCTCTATCCCCTGTGAAACGTTTTTTTAACTTAAAAAAAATGTTCATGAGTGTTATGCTTTCATGTATGTTAACAGTACCTTTGTTGTATAGTGCCTGCGTAGACCAGAAGAGGGCATTGAATCCCCTGGAACTGGAGCACGGATAGTTGTTAGCCACCATGTTTGTGCTGGGATTTAAATTCCCATCTTTTACAAGAGCAGCCAGTGCTCTTAATCACTGAACCATTTCTTCAGCATCTCTCCCCATAATATTTTAGATGGAATTAAGTAACATTATATGCTTATTTCAGCTAAAGCAGTAATTCAAAGTTAACTTCAAGTATTGAGTGCTTTTATTAGAAAAAGGAAATATGCCGGACGTGGTGGTGCATGCCTTTAATCCCAGCACTAGGGAGGCAGAGGCTGGTGGATCTCTGTGAATTCAAGGCCAGTCTGGTCTACATAGTGAATCCCAGGCCAGCTAGGGCTACAGAGAGACCCTGTCTCAAAAAGACAAAAAAAGCTGGGCGTGGTGGTGCACGCCTTTAATCCTGGCACTTGGGAGCCAGAGGGAGGTGGATCTCTTAGTTTGAGGCCAGCCTGGTCTACATAGTGAGTTCCAGGCCAGCTGGGGCTACAGGGAAACCCTGTCTCAAAAAGACAAAAAAAGGAAAAAAAAAAAAGAAAGAAAGAAAAAGGAAATAGACTGTAAGTTAAGAATCAAAGTTCTTACCTTAATAAAATAAAAAGTAAAGAATATATTAACCCCAAGGCAAGCAGAAAGAAAAGATAATAGAGTTCTGTGAAATTGAAAACAGGAGAGAGGAGCTGGAAAGAAAAGGTAGAAATTACTATCACCAGGAATAGAAGAGAGGGTGTCTAGATAATTTTAAAATCCGTTAAAATCTGCTCCCTCTTCAGCCTACAGAAATTATTAAGGAAAAGAAAAACCTAGACTGGAGAGATGACTCAGCAGCAAAGAGCACTGGCTGCTCTTGAAGAGGACCTGGGTTCTATTCCTAGCACCCCCATGGCAGCTATACATGCAGGCAATACACTAATACACATAAAATTAAAAAAATAATTTTTAAAATGGGTAAATAGAAGAGCATGGTGGCACATACCTGTAATCTCAGCACTCAAGAAGGCTGACACAGAAGCATCACAGGCTTAAGGTCACTCATAGCTTATTATAGGTCAACCTGAAAACAAACAAGTGAAGCATGATCCTATATTTAGATAATTTTGAGATGTATCTGTAATTCTTATGTTGTCAGCCTATCAGCTATAAGATTAAACTGCAGTTCATAGCCTTAGCTAATCTAGATTCAACCAGAGTGGGAATACATAAAATTTGCTTTCCAGAAACATGCATTGAAAATTTTTGCATATTTTTCCAACACCATTGTTTATATTTATAAATCGCTTGTTGATAACTCTGACTAGGAGAGCACACTAATTATTTATTTTGTGTTGCAGGCTTCATTAAGCAAACTGATGGAGACACTTGGTCAAGCAGAACCATATTTTGTAAAATGCATTCGGTCTAATGCTGAGAAGGTAAAAGTGTCCTGTAAATAACAGTACATCACTTAGGTTAATGATTTCTGTTGGAAGAGAATACAGAGGAGCTGTGCATGCCTTTATATTGAAAATTACATTGCATAATTGTTATCAATAGCTATTTTTCTAATTTCCACCTTTACCCCACAGTAAGGTGTTTATAGATTTGATTCAACATTTAGAATTTGAGGTAATTTTAATATCTCTTGAAATTCCATCAATAAAAGAGGGTTTTTTTTTGTTGTTTGTTCCTATCAAACTTTTGCTGCTCTAAAGGCTACCTAATCTCTCCTATTTGAATATATATTTTATTCTGTATCTTATAAATTAATTGCTTCGTATTTTCCATGTTTGGAAATTTTTTGCCTTTGAGCCTGCTGAGGTCAGAGGACAACTTGTGGGAGTAATCAGCCCCATCTTGCTTAATTTTTTAAGTGGGAGTAATCAGCCCCATCTTGCTTAATTTTTTAAGAACCAGTCTGTAACTCTGCTATTTAAAACTTTTGTGATAGGCCTGATGACCTGTGTTCAATCCCCAGGACCTACCTGGTGAAAGGAACAGAACTCACCCCTGCAAGTTGTTTGTCTTCTGACTTCCACATGTGTACCATGGCATGCACAAGTCCACAGATACTTACACATATACAAATAAATAAATAAATGTCAATTAAAAGTATAGTTGTCAGGAGGCAGAGACAGGCGGATCTCTGTGCGTTCAAGGCCAGCCTGGTCTACATAGTGAGTTCCAGGTCAGCTGGGGCTACAGGGAGACCCTGTTTCAAAAAGACCAAAAAAAAAAAATTTATATATATATAGTTGAATTACTTCTTTATTCCATGTCTTAAATATTTCCATTGTGCAATGATTATTGTAATTATAGTGCTAACTTGGTATCCTTTGTAAGTATTCATACTTAGCATCTATGAAGTGCTTAGTTTCTGCTTATACTGAGTAATTTGTATATGTTAGTGATAATGAGTTAAAAAGGAAAATTTTATTCAGAGTTAAATACAAGTTTGAGTTTCAATTACTAATTGAGACTTTACTGAATAGAGTTCAGGCCCTAGGATAAGTTCTAAATGAATGTTAGCTGCTTTTATTAATCAACATAAATTCTAAAATAAAAACTCTTTAAGTACATTAATGTGAGTTTGTAGTGACTGAGCTGTGAGACCTCTCTGGGCAGCTACATTCCTCTTGAGCTTCTATAGCCTTCTGCCTTCACAACTAGAGAAACCTGAAAATTTGAGCTCCCTCATTACTACTCTAGGGTTGGACAGTCTGCTTTTCTGTAGCTACTAGATAGGACGTGAGCTTGTTCTTTACCTCAACTGCATCTTTAACAACCCTAAGTCAATCTCTAGGTAGTCAAACATTAGCTAAGCTTGTGAGACAAATCCTAATTTGGAGATGTACTAATCTTTTTCTTCGTTTGTTTTAGCTACCTTTAAGATTCAATGATGCCTTGGTACTAAGACAGCTTCGGTACACTGGGATGCTGGAAACAGTTCGAATTCGCCAGTCAGGATATAGTTCCAAATATTCTTTCCAGGTTATATGCTTCTATAATGATATTTAAATATATTCATACTAAGTAAATCATTCCTACATTTCTTGCTTATTATTTCTTTGGGAATCAGTTAATTTCTCTTAATTCTTTCATTCTATCTACCTTTTTTTATACAAAATTATAAAAGCCTTGAGGCTACTCAGTGTCTTTGAAGTAGAATATACAACACAACACTTGGGCCAAGTGTGGTGGTGCATGCCTTTAATCTCAGCACTGGGGAGACAGAGGCAAGCAGATCTCTGTGAGTTCAAGATCTCTGCCTGGTCTGGAGCCTTTGAGGAACCAAGCACTCCTTTGCTGTGTAGAGATTAGCTTCCTTCTCAGCTGTATCTTCTTGTATCTTTTTTTTTTTTTAAACACATCCTAAATTAACAGCTAGTAACTAATGCCAGCTAAGCACCTTGCTGTATGTTCTAATAGCTACTACATTTGCTTTTGTTACTCTCTCAGAAAATTTGAGACAGGGTCTCTGTGAACCCCAGTTGGCCTGGAATTTGCTACGTAGATCAGGCTGGCCTTGAACCCACAGAGATCCGCTGCCTTTGCTCCTGATTGCTGGGATCAAAGGTGCGTGCCACCACATCTGGCTTGATACAGCTTTCTTAAAAGAAATAGTTACCTTCTGCCTTCCTTTTTAAAATTTAGTTTCCATTTAATAACAATATAAACTCAGTATCATTCCCTTTTCTTGTGTTTTAAAAATGAACAAACATTTCTTTGGTTTCACCCTTTTTTTTTTATTAATAAGTTTTATTCTTGACAGTTTCCTACATGCATATAATACGTACTGCTTACTCTCACACCCACCCTCTCATCTCTATTCCATGGCTGGCCAAGCCTCACTCTACTTTTAAAAGAATGAGAAAACAGGTCCTTGAGTATTTTCACTCATGTGGCCCACTGCTCTCTTGCAGAGTATTCTGATCTTTTCTATTACTTTGCTTTAAATAAAGTTTTCTTGCCATTAAAAAAAAAGTGCCAAACATGGCATATGCCTTTAATCCCAGTATTCAGGAGTCAGAGGCAGGCTGATCTCTGTGAGAACAAGACCAGCCTTGTCAAGTTCCAGGTCAGCTGAGGCTTCAGAGAGATCCCATCTCAAAAAACCGAAAAGAAAAGAATGAAAAAAACAATTAATAAAAGGATAATTTAGTCAGTTTAGGATGTAATTTGTGATTTTATAACATGTTCTTTTTAATTTTCAGGATTTTGTGAGCCACTTCCATGTACTTCTTCCTCGAAGCATTATTCCGTCTAAATTTAACATTCAAGATTTCTTCAGGAGAATAAATATTAATCCTGATAATTATCAAGTTGGAAAAACCATGGTAAATATTTGTAGCCTTTGTAAAAATTAAACTCACTTTTGTATTTTAATATCTGTCTTTGCCCGTGAGAATTGTAAAAAGATAGTATGTATTGAGTATCAAAAGGAAATTGATTAGCCTAAGTGTTTTTTTCTTTTTAACATTTATTTGTGGGTGTGTGTGTATATGTGAGCATAGAGGTCAAAGAACATGTGGAAACAGTTCTCTTCCTCCATCATGTGGGTTCCCTGGATGGAACTCAGATTGTCAGGCTGAGTAGCAAGTACCTTTACATGCTGACCCAACTAGCTAGACACCTATATTTTGTTTATTATTATAATTATTATTACTACTACTACTGTTATTTGTGTGTGTGTGTGTGTGTGAGAGAGAGCGAGAGAGAGAGAGAGAGAGAGAGAGAGAGAGAGAGAGAAGTTGAATTGCACATGAGGTCAGAGGCCAATTTTCTAGTCAGTTTTTTCTTGAAGATCAAACTCAAGTTGTCATACATGCACTGCAAGGTCTTTGACCTCCCGAACCCTCTTACTGTCCCTAGATATTTTCTTTTTCTGTTTTTTTAAGGCTCAGCAGGGAAAGGTGCACATGTTCACGTATGTGTAGGTGTACAAACACACAATCAATCAATACATGTAACATAAAATAATGTAGTCAGCATTGATTATAGAACTTTTGGCCAATGTTCTATTTCTGACTATTACTTCACCTGTAATTTAAAAGTCTCTGAGTAGATATTTTGCAGTAATCATCAACTCATCTTGTCCAAAGTAACGTTATCTTTTTTCCTTGTCATCTTTTAAATTTGTTTCCAGTTTTTTTCCAAGTTTTGCTTTTTCATTTTTTGTTACAGATGATTCTCATCTCTCTTTTTTTCCATTCCTCCCAATTGCATTTTGTTTCTGTTCCTTAAATCTTCTCATCTATATTTTACAATAATAAATTGCTGTTCTTCAAGTCTATTTTAGTCTTTCCATTCCTAACTATTCTACCCATTTTATTAAAGTCATTTATATATACTTGTTTATTTTTGCCTCCTGCTTAATAATAATCTTCCAGTAGACTCATTAAATTAAAACATCTTTCTCTCTCACAGTAGCCAATCTTCTACATTGGCTAGGCATCCTGATGCATTCTTAAAATCCTGCACTGGAAAGCAGTGGCAGGAGAATCACTAGTTCAAGGCCATCCTCAGCTATGTAGCAAGTTCAAGACAAACCTCAACTACATGAGAATATCTCTCAAAAAACAAAATAAAACACCTCCATATGATTGTTTCCATAGTACTTCATGCTGCTTTATGAAGTATAAATTGTTCAGTTGTCTCATGTGCTTGCCTTTATTATTTTTTTCTGATCCTATGCTGCCCAGGTAAGATCTTCTATTTCTAATCCTTATTAGATATTCTTTTCCTCCCTTGATATTTGTTTACCTGCTACCTTTCATTATAGCTGGTACTGGTAGACGGATGAACTGAAAATTCTGCTTCAAAGAGATAGGTCTAATATGTCTAATTTATCCCTTGTACACCACTGCTTAGTAACTATGGAGTGTAAGAAACCTTTAATGCTTGTTAATTTTTTTCAAGCAGATGGTTGTTATTGGTTTATTCAGGTTATGATCACTTTTAAAAAAATTATTTAATAGCCATATAATTAGAAGAAGTATTTTATTACAATAGCATTGACATATTCAATAACAATTTCCAGAGCTAAGATGCATCTCTTTCAAAATTGTCTGTAAATTTTTAGGTTTACAGTTGAATTGATGCAGTTATACAATATTGTACTCTGTATAAACCCTATAAGGCAAAAAACTAAATGAGGTTTTAAACTTTAAAAAAGATCTCCATTTAATTATTAAAATGCAGAGTTTCATACAGAAAAATTCATTTTTAATACAGTTGACACTAAAATGCACGTGTGTTTCTAATCTATATATCTGATTATTACTAGTGACAGTCGGTTACTTTTTGAGCTCTTTGGCATCTGAGCATGGATATAAAATCATCAGGTAGATTCCAATGATAATGTTTTTCACATCTACTAATTATTAAGGAGCAAATTTTTATACTTTGAAGAATTTTTTTTTCCTTTTCTTCTTTTTATTTATTTATACACCCACTTCCCAGGTAGCATCCTCCCATAGCCTCCCTCCCCGCACAAGAGCTCTTATACTCTGCTATCTCTGCTACTGTGTGCTGTGTTGTCGGCAGCCACAGCCATTCCCCACTACTTGCCCTTTTTGCCCTTCTGGTGAATCTAGTCAGCCTATCTAGAGGTCTTTGTTTTAGGAGGGTCAGTTGTTCTTCATCTAGCGGTAATAGTTGTCTATATTCCTTTGGATAAGATTGGGGTCTGCTCTTCATTTTCTCAGTTCTACTATTTTTTTGAATAAATTAAGTAGTATTGGATTCAGATCTTCTTTAAATGTCTGATAGAATTCCGCTGTCAATCCATCTGGTCCTGGGCTTTTTTTAGTCGGGAGGTTTTGTATTACTGTTTCCATTTCTTTTTGTGTTATGGGTCTGTTTAAGCTGGTAATCTCTTCTTGGTTTAGTTTTGGTGGTTCCCATGCCTTTAGATATGCATCCATTTCTTTTAGGTTTTCAAATTTAGTAACATAGGTTTTTAAAGCATTCCTTTATAATGTTCTGGATCTTTTTGGTGTCTGTTGTGGTGTTTCCCCTTTCATCTCTGATTTTGTTGATTTGGAGATGTTCTTTCTTTCTTTCTTTTGGTTAACTGTGATAGGGGTCTGTTAATTTTTTTTATTTGGAGGTGCTCTTTCTTTCTTTTGGTTAACTGGGCTAGCAGTCTGTCAGTGCTGTTTATCTTTTCAAAGAACCAGCTCTTGGATTTGCTGATTCTTTGTATTGTTTTCTTTGTTTCAATTTCATTAATTTCTGCCCTGATTTTTGTTATTTCTTCTTGTCTGCTCGGTTTGGGTTTCATTTGTTGTTGCTTTTCAAGTGTCTTGAGTTTCAATGTTAAGTCATTTGTTTGTGTTCTTTCCAATTTTTTGATGTAGGCACTTAGAGCTATAAAATTTCCTCTAAGGACTGCTTTCAGCATGTCCCAGAGGTTTTGTTGTGTTGCATTGTCCTTTTCTGTCTTCAGCCCTTCTTTCTCCTCTTCTTTCTTAATTTCTCTTTTGACCCATTCATCATTCAGGAGTGTGTTGTTTAATCTCCATGTGTTCATGTGGTGATTAGGGCTTCTTCGGGTGTTGATTTTGAGCCTTA